CACTGCAGCCTGGAACCCCCGGGCTGAAGTAGTCCTCTTGAGTAGCTGGGACTACAGGCATGCACCATCACACCTGGCTAATTTTTTTTTTTTTTTTAATTTTTTGTGGAGATGGGGTCTTGCTCCGTTGCCCAGGCTGGTCTCCAGCTCCTGGCCTCAAGGGATCCTCTGCCTCAGCCTCCCAAAACTCCGGGATTACAGGCATGAGCCACCGTGCCCAGCCTATTCTGGATATTTTATATAAGTGGAATCATACAATATTTGTCCTTTTATAACTGGCTTATTTCACTTAGCAAATATCAGTGCTTCATTCTTTTTTATAGCTAATATCCCAGTGTATGGATAGACTACATTTTGTTTATTCATCCATTGGTGGGCATTTGAGTTATTTCTACCTTTTGCCTGTTGTGAATAGTGCTGCTGTGAACATTCATGTACACGTATCTTGAGTTCGTGTTTTCAATTCTTTTGGCTCTGTACTTTAGTTAACATTTTGATGCTTTTTTTTCCTCTTTTTGAGACAAAGTCTTGATCTGTTACCCAGGCTGGAATGCAGTGGCACAATCATAGCTCACTGAAGCCTCAAACTCCTGGGCTCAAGTGATCCTCTTGCCTCAGCCTCCTAAATAGCTGGTACTACAGGTGTATGCCACCACACCCAGCGAGGTTTTTGGTGTTTTTTTTTTTATTTTTTTGAGACAGGGTCTTACTATGTTGTTACCTGGGCTGGTCTTGAACTCCTGGCCTTAAGCAATCCTCCCGCCTTGGCCTCCCAAAGCACTGGGATTACAGGTGTGAGCCACTGCGCCTGGCTGAAATAATTTTAACTATTTGAACTGCTACTTAGAAAGATATCCTAGGGTGACAACCCTTGAATTTGCCACCTAGGGTCTCTTTTTTGTATAAGTTTCTCCCATTGGGCACAGAGCACCATGAGAACTTTAAACTTCAAGGTAAGAATTGACTGATGTTTATTGAGCAGAGCTGCACTGTTTTTATTTTTCTTTGTAGCTAATAGCACTAAAATGGAGACATTCGTGCCTTTGGCGTTTTTTTTTAATGGTTTTGAAGACAGCCATTATCCTTAAGGTGGGCTTCTAGTTTTATAATTTTTATGGAAGGATAGTTCTTCTCATAGCATTTATATAATAACAATTTGCAATTACCTGGTTTGTCTTAATTTTCCATTACCTCCACTAGGATGTAAACTTCACGAGGAAAAGGACAAGATTCTTGCCCATTCTGTTGTTAGGGTATGCCTAGCATTTGACACAGGTCTGGCTCACTGTAGGTGTTTAGCAGTGATTTTGTTAATATATATTTGAAGCATGGTAAATAAGTATTGGTAGTCTAACAGGGTCCCATAATTTAGTTCTTATTTAATGCCTCCTGTGCATAAGCATGTGTTATGATTTTATATTCCATATTGAATTTTTCTTAGGGAGCAATGACTGTATATTTGGGTTTTGGTAATTTATCCTGCTAAAAACTCCTTTGGTTTGGAAGTTTAATGTAGAACAAATTTCTTAAGTGGGAGGGTGATATGGTGGAAGTACTAGACCTAGAGTTGGAAACTGGTGTGCTCCTTATAAGCTATGTGACCTTGGACCAAGTCCCTGAATTCCTGTCCTGTAAAGTGGGGGGTGACAGTACCTAACTTCATAGGATTGTTGGGAGGATTAAATGACAATGTAAAGCCCCCTTAGCACAGTGCCCGGCAGATGGTAAGTGTTCAGTAAATATTAGCTACAACAAATAAATAATTCTGTTTTGATAGACATTAAAAATAGTGAAGTTGATTTTAATGCTATTGGCTGGTAGGACAACTATTAAGTAATATCTAGTATTCACTTGAACTGTCAAAACCCATTTTGAAATCTTTTATCTTCTAACTGCTAGACAGTTATCTTCAGTGTGAAATTTGAGAACAATCCTAAATTTTCACAATTGGAAAAATATTCCAGTAAAGCCTGGTAGGAAAATGGCAGCATTGGTTTGTAATTTTAAAGCACAGAAACAGGTTTTTTTTTATTAATCCAAAGTGTTTGATCAGGAGCGTTTAATTCTAATGCCACAAGTCAACAGTACTTAAAGATTTATCCAGACTTCATTCATGCAACAGATTTTGAGTACCTGCTGTATACTGGCCATGGTTCGTGTGCACAGCAAAACAAGACTTCTGTGGTCCTCGGTTTACATTCTACCAGGGGCCCAGATGAACAGACAGAAGCAAACTGGCAAGTGTAATTCAAAGTACAGGGTGTGGTGGGGTGAGGACATTATCGGAGCATTTCAGGAAGCATGGAGCAGGCTCGTGAGGGGAGAGAGAGATGAGAGAGGCTTTTCCAGGGTGAAGTGGTGTCTGAGCAGAGGCCTGAAGGATGAGCAGCTGTACGCCAATTGATGGAGGATGGTTTTGGCAGTTTTCTATTTTTATAATTTTTTTTCCTTGAGCTAAATGTAGGGAATTTAAGAAGCTTCGAGGCCATGTTTGTTGATGTTTTTGATGAGCACCATTCTTCAATATAAATAAATCTTTATTTGTTCTGGAAAAAATGCATCTAATCTTCACATTCAGAATAATTTTTAAATTGTTGGTAGTGTTGCTTTTTACTAATCTCTGAATGCCCCCACTCAGAGGACAAACAAATAGAGTGAGAGAATTTAATCTGTCATAAACTATGTCTAAAGGCGGTAGTAGGAAGCTTCCAAAGCCAAGAAGATTTATGTTAGCAACATTGATTTAATACATTAGTGTTCTTATAATAAAGTAAGCCTGCCGTTCAGATGTATGTAAGACAATTATTGCAGAAGTATTCTCCTGAAAGACTTAGAAGGGACTACTTATTCACAAGCGTGGAACTCTGCTGGGAAAAAAAAAAAAATTCACGTTGAAACCAGAAGCTTCTAGGAGTTCCCTCCTAGCCAAAAATAAAAGCTTCCTGCTGGGCAGTTTTCCTAAGTTTTTTGCTAACTTGTGGCAAAATCACTAATGATTGGGGTTTTCTGGCCAGTGAAGCAGGGATCCCACCATCTTGCCACTGGGAGTGTTTCTTGAGTTCTTTACTATGTATTGGTGTCTAGAGAGAAAAGAAAATTATTGTGATTCTTCTGGAAAAATAACGGTTTTTATTGCTCAGTTGGTGTTGTGTTACATATGCATCTGCTTCGTATCTTCCATCAAAGGTTATCATTACTTTGCTTTCCCTTTTATTGCTTCTTGTTTTTAACATTTTGATGAGAAAGAGACTTTGCCAGTATTTTAGTTCAGTTATATGTTTTCAAGGCCAGAGTAGTGAAATGATTTTCCCAAAGTATAGAACTAGTCCAGAATCTTGGGTCTCCTGGATGGCTCCCAGTCCAGCCTTAGCTCTTACAATTTTCATTTCATTGTGTGCTTCAAGAGTTTGTCCCTTGTCTTTTGTCATCTTTCTTATTATTTTTCTTTGAAAAAAAATAATATCCTTTTACACATAGTTCCATTTCTGCTCAAAACTTGTTTCTTTCGAGAATTCAGAATTTCAGTGGCCATTCAGGCTGAAGATGACTTTACCTAGGGCAGTATTTCTCAGACTTAGACACAACCCTTTTAATGAAAAAAGACTCCCAACAAATATATCAGTTTTTTATTTGAGTAATTTTTATTGCTGTATAATATAGTTACTTAGGTATTTATAGAACAAAGCTAGATACAAACCAGGTAAACTTCTTGCTCTTATTTAGTTATTAGGCCAAATGATTTTATAATTTGAATACAAACAAAGCCTCCAAAACCAATAAAATTTAAATTAGCAACATTTATGTAATCTGATGGATTTCATAGTCTTGTTAACACTAAATCACTTGATACTGGGTTTAATGGTGGGAAGATGGAGCCTTAAGATCTATATTTAGTCTGGTCCTATTGTTTTACTTCAGTCTGAATTCAGAGAATGCCATCTCATCCATCTTTTATTCAAAACAAGTATAAAGACTTGGACTTAGGCATGTTATGGATAATTGGGTCCCACACTTAACACAGACTCTGCCACCTGGCAGTTTTGCTGGGTTGCCAGTGTCATGAAGGGCCACTTTGTAACTGTAAGATTAAGGTACATTTAGCAATTCAGTGCTGTTTACTCTGTATTAATGATTGTCTAATCTGTTGCAACTGGAACCAAAACAAAATTTTTTCGTTTCCACTACTACCTGCCTGCTGATAAGTGAATCGTTATGTTGCTAAGCCTTCCTCTTCAACAGTGAGTCTGGAACTCTGAGTGCTCTGTAGGTGAGCACTTAGGAGATTAGAATGCCCTGTGCTGTGCAGTGATTTCTTTCTCCCATTGCTTTTTATCTGTTCAGATTGCTAGGATACTCTTTCTTAGAGCACATGCTGACATCCTTTGCCCGGTACAAGCATGATTATGAGCACTAATGCTTTTTTCATAGGTAACTCAGAGACCCTTGAGGAGATAGATACTCATGGTCCTGTAAAAAACACTGACGGGGGAGGGTTCTGAGCGTCCCTAAGACCACAGTGTAAAACTAGCAGTTCTCAGGACAAACTCTCCGAAGTCTCCTGTGCACATGCTCATTTATAAAGCTGGAGAAGAGAAGGCCAGAGGCAGTAAGTCCTGGTGGGTAGGCTGTTGTGATAAGGCTACTTTGTGCGGCTCGGGTGTGGACTGAGGTCGAGAGCTGTCTTCCTTGGGGAGCTGGGTAGTGAAAGGAAGACTTTCTAACAGCACTGAGGTGGCAGGCAGGATGGCCCCTTGCTCTGGGTATTATGAAGAAGTCTTACTTGGTATAGAAGATGAACTTAAATCTCTGAAATCCTGTCCTAAGATTTTAAGATTCTAATTTGGCATTAAAAAGACACCTTCTTTATAAGTGTCCTGAAAAATGAAGTCAGTCAGAAAGCTGGTTAAACCATGTTTTTGTCCCCTCTTTGTCTAAAACCTTGGATATTAAATTGTATTTTGGCTCTGTTGGAATAACTGGGGTTTTTTTCCCGCCTGCAGTGAGAGGGTCCAAGCCTGGTAAGAATGTCCAGCTACAGGAGAATGAGATCAGAGGACTGTGCTTAAAGTCTCGTGAGATCTTTCTCAGTCAGCCTATCCTACTAGAACTTGAAGCACCACTCAAAATATGTGGTAAGTTTTGGGCACACTAAATTATCTTTGATTACAACGTGATTGATTAACTGAGTCAAGGATATGTTGATGAACTGGTATTAGCTAGCGGAATCATTTCCTATTTATGAATAACCTGGAATTACTTAAAATTAAGTTAAATAGTGGCTTTAGAATAAATACCTCCCATGGACTTAGTTTAAATGTACTTCAGTTTTTAAATTATTTCAGTGAAGGCATATAAACATTGCAGAGGAAAAAATGAGATGAAGAATGGAGAGAGAGCTAAGATAAGGTCTGAGCTACTGAGTACATAGGATTGTATTTAAGCTTAAAGCAACACTGGTTATTTCTAAAAATAGAACTTCCTTAATGCTGGTTTATGATTCTGTTTTTTATATAATAGCAGAAATCTGTGTTTTTACCTCAATATAATATAAAAACTATACTTTATTCATTTGAATAATGATATATTCTTCTGGCATATTTGACTACACTCATAAAATTTTGTGTGCATTTTTTTTTTTTGAAAGTAAAATGCTCTTGGGCATGATCTGGCAGGGAGAGATCAAAAGCTGAATGCATTGATGGATGTAGAGTGTCTGCTTTTGTTTCAGTGGGGCCAAGGCTCACTAGAAGTACAGCAGTTCCGCTGACACGGTACCCAGAGACGGGGCTGTCAGAGATCTGATACTGATCAGCCAACCTGGAAGGAAAACCAAGTTACTTGGCAAGAGGCATGCCTAGACTTAACATTCCTTTCCACAAAATAAATTCTTAATCAGTTGAATTTTGTGTGAGGTTCTGGACATACACACACTTAAAATGTTTATTAGGCTCAACTGAACTAAATATGATGCAAGATCACAAATTACATAGTGTTGGCTGTCAAATTAAACTCATTACTAGAGGTCAGTGCCATTGTGCAGTGAGTATTTAAAGAATGTCTTCCCAACGCTTTGTTAGTGGGTTAAGCTCTTAAGTATGGAAACACTGTGTAACAAAAAACTCTTGCTTCTAGGTGATATCCACGGGCAATACTATGATTTGCTTCGACTTTTTGAGTATGGAGGTTTCCCGCCAGAAAGCAACTACCTGTTTCTTGGGGACTATGTGGACAGGGGAAAGCAGTCATTGGAGACTATCTGCCTCTTACTGGCCTACAAAATCAAATATCCTGAGAATTTTTTTCTTCTCAGAGGGAACCATGAATGTGCCAGCATCAATAGAATTTATGGATTTTATGATGAATGTAAGTACTTTCTACATGTAAGGAAGAGTTATTTAAGTTAAGATACTTTTGTCATCAGCTAAACCATCACATACTTCTGTTAGCATTCGTGAGAACTTAGGTAATGTGTTATCTCTCATGTTTTCTATTTCATTAGTTTGCTTTTATTTTAGTTTTTTCTTTCTTGGGTGGAAAAATAATGCTGCCACTATAATATTACGTAATGAATGTTCTAGATTCTTTTATCATGGTCAGATTAGGAAGTAGTGATCTCAGAAGTGGGTTCTTTGAAATAGTCTGAGTATTCGCAGATAACTTAATTCTTAGTACAACTCTGAGAACCTGTCCACATAGCTAGTTTTGTTTTTAACAACTTTATTAAGATATAATTTCATTCCATAAAATTCATCCATTTAAACTACGCAATTCAGTGGATTTATAGTAAATTTATAGACTTGCATAACTACCACCACAGCCCTCAGGCAACCACTGATCTACTTTCTGTGTTTATAGTTTTGCCTTTTCTAGACATTTCATATAAATGGAATCTCGCAATATATGAATAGTTTTTGAAGTTACTGTAGTTTTTCTCCTTCTGGCACATCTGCACCCAGGGTAAATGGCAGTTACTTTTCTAAAATATGCTGAACAGAGAAAACAAAACTGTAAAAAAATTTGTAATTTTTATTTTTGCAATATTTTACACCTTTTGCAACCCATTTTGGATTGTTTAGTTGAAGGTGAACTTTGAGTTGATTGTTGAAGGAGACAAAATTCTTAAAGTGTTGAAAATCAGTTTGATAGAGGGTTTCTTCTTACTGTTTTAAGTAACCATAAAATGTGAAAAAGTTTTGAATACTTGTCTCCACCCTCTTTTGTGCTCATCATTTTTGCTAGGAGAGGGTTCAGGTTCAGAGTGGAGGGGTGGTTAAGAAATTTGAGATACTCAATACTTGCTAATATTTACGATGAGGTGAGCAAGGATTGTTACTGTGGTCCTCCCCTGGCCTTCAGTTGTAACCTACAGTCTCTTGAGTGTGACGTTTTTCCCTCTCAATTTCACATGGGTGTGTTGAGCTAGCTCATTTGTTAGAAGTGGTCCTAGAATGGTTGCATACTCATAGACTTAGCCCTTCTACCCGCACCTTTTCCACAACTGAATGTTTGCTTGGTCTATGGCCTTGAGATCCCAGCTCGTGAGAAGATGAGGGGGGAGGGGTTATCAGGGAGAGAAATCTGGTGGGTTCTGGATTGACTGGGACAACTGAATTTGTGCAGTTAGTCCCTGTCAAAGAAGTACTAGTAAAGCAGTTACTACTCCTTAGGTACCAGAGGCAGGGACTTTTGTAACATTGTATTTTGGGGATTTGTTACAGATGTTACTTTTGGGTTAAGGAAGGTTTCCTTTTACATAGCTGTTAGCTCAGCAAGTACTTCCATGTTTTCATTTATGAGGTTCAAATCCCACTGATCTTGTGTGACATCCTAATGTAACAATATTGGCTACATCAGTTTCAGTTTCTATTTAATGCAGAGGCCTTTAAAAATGATTTAGAAAGGTCAGTGGTGGTTGACACTAATTTTGACTTCTGTTGGGTCATCGAGGCACATTTATAGACATTGTGCTCAAGCTTCCCCTCTCCTATCAGGAAGGTATAACTCACCATTCATTCTACTTGTGGGCATAAAAGTGCCCTTGACATAGGTAGCTTTCAGTTGACAGCTTGCGGACATTCTTTTTTAAAAAATTGATAATTGTATTAAAATGAAAAGTTTAATTCAAATGTAGATTTTCATACAACAATTTTAAAACAACTGCTTATTTCCCAAGTATAATAAGTACTATGCTACCATCTTTTTTTTTTTTTTTTTTGTAACTTTATGAATGTGATGCTGGAAAGACAGGGGTATGTTGTGTGAAACTTGCATGTTTGATCCTTTTCCAACACCAGAGCTGTCTGATGTGTAGTATATGAAACTGCATTACAGGTTCTGGCTCAGACTCCTAGGATTTAGGAGCTTGAAGGGACCTAGACGATTACCCAGGCTAAACCTTGCAGGAGCCAGCTGTTCCTAGGGTTTGAAGTGGCCTTAGGGAGGAAATAGAGAAGAGAAAGCAGTGGCCCTGTACTTGGTTAAGATGCCACGAGACAACAGTAGGAAAAAAACTGTTTTTTGATGGAGGAACCAACAAAGACAGCAAAGGAATCAGCAAGAGAAACTGGCATATGTTACGTGACTAAAAGAATCAAGGAGTGAAGCTGACTTGAGAAAGGAACAGGATCAGTAATGGCAAATGCAGCATGTAAGAAAGGAAAAGTCTCCAAGGAAGCCACTGGACGATTTGCTCAGAGATAGCCTTCAGTCGAAGGTGGAGACAGGGCCAGGCACAGGGGCTCACACCTATGACCCCAGCACTTTGGGGGGCCAAGATGTGAGGATTGGTTGAGCCTAGGAGTTTTCAGACCAGCTGGGCACCATAGTGAGATCTCATCTCTACAAAAAATTAGCCAGGTTTGGCGGTGCAAGCCTGTAGTCCCAGCTACTCGAGAGACTGAGCCAGGAAGATCACTTAAGCCCAGGAGTTTGAGGTTGCAGTGAGCTATGAGCACACCACTGCACTCTATCCCTGGCAACAGAGCGAGAGACCCAGTCGGGGGCGGGGGGGGGGAGCATGGAGACAGAATGAAATCACTTCATAAATGAGGATTAAGGCAACATGACCCCTGTTGATTTTTGGAATATTTGTGTTATATTACTGGTTAAGCATCCCTAATCTGGAATCCAGAATGCTCCAATGAGCATTTCCTTGAGCATCCTGTCAGCACTCAGAAAGTTTCAAATTTTGGAGAATTTCAGATTAGGGATACTTAAACTGTACTGTTATTATTATCTACATTGGAAATTGGAGGTGGTGATTGTGTGCAGGTTCCCCTTTAGCCTTTTTTAGGGAGGAATTTATTAAGCTTCCAGAATTCTCCAGTGAAATAATATATGGGACAGAGGGAATAATTAGTGGCCTCCAAAGAAATGTGAAACAGACTGAACCATGGTCAGAGTTAGACCTAGTCATTGAGAAACCAGAAACTATTAGGAGAAAAAAAATAGCTCTTCTGCTGAGGGAGAAGTCAGATGTTTGCTGGATTTGCATTACATTTCTAATCCCGTGCTAAACCTTTACCCTGCTTGATTTGCACTGGGGGTTGGAAGGTGTGGTTCTATTAATAACTCTCAAAGGAGAGGTCCAGGTTTAAGCCTTTAGACGTCCCTCTAGTCCCTAGGATAAGAAAGAAAAAGACTAAGGACAAACTCTTGGTTTAGGAATAAAGATGGTGCGCTAGTATGTGGTAAGGTACAGGAGACAAAGGCACCTGAACAACTGGGCTGTCCATGGGGCAGTCCTTAAAATCAGTTCAGACAGATTGGTTCTTCCAAGGTTTGTGAGTAGGTTTATGACCGGAAACATAGTTTTCACGTAGAAACAGTGCTCAGAGGCATGCTTGTGTTGGTCATACTGACTCCAGAAAGCATGGAGCACGTGCTGGGGAGGGAGTGTGACTGCACCGTAATGTCAGTCCTGTGGGAAGCATTTAGAGTTTGTGCAGATACCCCGTGGTGCCCGCAAGAAGCAATCTGTATTCCCCTGTAATCATTGTGCCTCCTGCTAGAGCATTTAGGGGCTGGGAGTTATCCGCTATCAGTAGGTTATTGAGGGGGAAGATGGGAAGGGTGTTAACTCTCAGAAGGCAGGTGGTAATTGCTCGTGTGTGAGTTCATAATTACCTTTAGAAACAGGAGCTGTCTGTAAGTTGAGATTGGACAAAACAGACTAGATTTCAAACAGAGTTGGTGCTGCCAAATAATTGGTGGAATTTGATGGTAGTCCTTAGTCTTTATCATATCTGGAATTCTAATTTTATACTTCTGTGGAATTTTAAAATACTTCATGTGAAAATGTAAATCATTGCTTATGGATCAGACATCTCCAGGTGTCGTGTATATCCAATTCTCAGCCCCCTCCAACGGAGTCTTAATGAAGGCATAGTTTCATTTATTTTAAAAGGTAATCAGAACTTTGCTTTGGAGGAAATTATCCTGAGAGAATCAACCTATAGAACAATAATCTCTTTTTAACTATCCTAAAATTTTCACAGGTAAAAGAAGATACAACATTAAACTATGGAAAACTTTCACAGACTGTTTTAACTGTTTACCGATAGCAGCCATCGTGGATGAGAAAATATTCTGCTGTCATGGAGGTATGTGGGCTGATTTTTGTTCCAAATAGCTTTTGATTCCTTCTAAAAACTGAACACTTTGACATTTATGAGTTATCATTGGGTGATGACTTCTGTCAGGAAACTCGTTTGTTGATGTGTTACATCACGGTTCACTGTGACACAGCCAGGATCATTTGGACAGAAGTCTGATGCAAGCATTTGATTTGTTACAGGGAATTCTGGACTCTAACAGTTTGATTTGAAAATAGAAAGTATTTTTAACTGTAAAATGAATAGCAGTTAATTTGTTGTGCCGTAGATCCTCTAGAACACTGAAGATGTGAACAGATTTTTCCTTGATCTGTTTTTGACCTTCTCAGAACCTTTTCTGACTTGGATTTTAAGTTATTTTGCTTTACGCAGAGATTATGCTTTGTATAATGTAATTAAAATAGTAATTGCAAAGAGGATTTCTTTTCGTGTGTGGTCAGAAGTTAGGCAACCATCGAAGAGCCTGTCTCTGCCCTCCTATACTTATATAGGTTTTGGTAGAGTTTTCAACTCAGATGACAATAATTAGACTACATCTGAGCTGGTCTGATAGACTTGATGGTCTGTGGACAGCACAGGTTTCCTAGAGAGCCACCTCACACCTGAGCATCTGCACCTTCTGTGCCTTGTCATCACAGACGTTCAGTGATGACACCTAGTGTGTGCGTTGCTCATTAGTCCTGTCAGCTGGGGAGACATGCAGAAGAATAGTTTTTAAAATGACTGGATTTTAATATACAGGGTTCGGTATTGTGTTTTATTCTGTTTTTTTAAACCAAAACTAAGTAAATAAAACATAGCCATAGATTTAATTTAAGCTTTCCTGTCAGTCACTGAGTCTCTGTAGACAACTGGAACTGTGAAAGTGATAACATCCTTTTAAAGTTCTTTTTTCATTTTTTGTCTCATTTAATAGGTTTATCACCAGATCTTCAATCTATGGAGCAGATTCGGCGAATTATGCGACCAACTGATGTACCAGATCAAGGTCTTCTTTGTGATCTTTTGTGGTCTGACCCCGATAAAGATGTCTTAGGCTGGGGTGAAAATGACAGAGGAGTGTCCTTCACATTTGGTGCAGAAGTGGTTGCAAAATTTCTCCATAAGCATGATTTGGATCTTATTTGTAGAGCCCATCAGGTATTGATTTTGAATTTTACATGTACACTTAAGAGCATGTGTGTGAGCACAGATTCTCCTTGTTGATTTTGGTGGGTAGGTATTGCTTATTTATACAAAGTGTCTTTGGAAACAACCTACAGGATAGCAGGCTCAGCAGGAAATTGAAGAGTGGTTTTACTCACCTAAAGTTTGCACCTACTTATCCTGAAAAAATTTTCTCTTCAAGGTGGTTGAAGATGGATATGAATTTTTTGCAAAGAGACAGTTGGTCACTCTGTTTTCTGCACCCAATTATTGTGGAGAGTTTGACAATGCAGGTGCCATGATGAGTGTGGATGAAACACTAATGTGTTCTTTTCAGGTAGAGCATGCTTTCAACATTATTTCCTTTTATTATATTTGGATTTTGCTGATTGAAAAAAGAAATTGCAGGCCAGTTACGGTGGCTCACGCCTGTAATACTAGCACTCTGGGAGGCTGAGGCGGGAGGATAGCTTGAGCTCAGGAGTTCAAGACGAGCCTGAGCAAGAGCAAGACCCCGTCTCTACTGAAAATAGAAAAAATTAGCCGGGCATGGTGGTGTGCCCCTGTGGTCCCAGCGACTCGGGAGGCTGAGGCAGGAGGATCACTTGAGCCCAGGAGTATGAGGTTGCTGTGAGCTAGGCTGACACCGCGACATTTTAGCCTGGGCAACAGTGTAAGACTCTATCTCAAAAAAAAAAAAAAAAAATTGCTACTTTCTATTTACTGATTATGTTGAGTAGGCTAAATTTTTATGTTCCATAACCGGTCTTTGTCCAAGTTGAATAATGTGTGGATCCCTCTTAAAGGAGTAAAATGATCATGGGACCTGTCTTCCAGTGTTGAACTTAACTGTTTTTGCATTACTGAAATAGGTAAAAACAAAGTAATATATTGGTTTTTTATGCTGCTAATGGCTCTTTTACTGTAAATCTAAAACCATAATGTTAATGTAATGTTTGGCTAAGATTAAATCACCACTTGGATGGGAAAATAGTACTAACTGCCACCCACCACGTGTGCTATGTCCGTGGTCTCTAACCTTTTTGGTCCCAAGGACCAGTTTCATGGAAGACAGTTTTTCCAAGGAGAGGGGGTGGGGCATGACAGCTGTGGAGCTCTGCAGCCCCGGGGTTGGGGACTGCAGTGCTATGTTGTTACTTAGTTCTGCTCTTTTCTCTAGTCTAATTTCGACAAAACATTTGTTGATGTACCATGACATCATTTGGCCTTCACTGAGCACAAAAGCATTATTTACACAGAGCCTGCCTCAATCTTTTTATCGTTTGCTTATTATGATAAACTGTGAAACTTCAGGCCAACCCAATCATAAACATAAATGCAGCTATTGAAATCATGTGGCTGTGATCAGTTAAATGAATTAAAACAATTCTTTTACCAATTATCAGGGAGAACTTGCAGCTCCCAGAGATTGTACAAGGATCCCCTAGGGGTTTGAGACACTTCTAAAGAACTTTCCCCCCTTTATGTCATAAAATACTACCAGGTGTAGACTTCAGAAAATTGTCATTTTACTCAGAGGAAAAATAATTTATCCTGATCATAGATGTTGTCTGTTCATCATAGCATTGATTGCCAGATGTTTAAATGTCAGCTTGGTTTGTGATAATATGCTAGTGGGGCTGTCACAGTTGTTTGAGGCAGTCTTAAATAGTCAAAAACATTTCTGAACAAGAGATTTGAATGAGATTTAAGGACTCTTAAGATTTTGGGTGGAGTATATTTCCTAAAATGCACTGTCTTTTGAATCTTCAGATTTTAAAGCCTGCAGAGAAAAAGAAGCCGAATGCCACGAGACCGGTAACACCTCCAAGGGGTATGATCACAAAGCAAGCAAAGAAATAGATGTTATTTTGACACTGCCTAGTTGGGACTTGTAACATAGAGTATATAACCTTCATTTTTAAGACTGTAATGTGTACTGGTCAGCTTGCTCAGATAGATCTGTGTTTGTGGGGGCCCTTTCTTCCATTTTTGATTTAGTGAATGGCATTTGCTGGTTATAACAGCAAATGAAAGACTCTCCACTCCAAAAAAAAAAAAAGTGTTTTGTTTTTTAATTCCCTGTTCCTTTTGCAAACAATTTTAATGATGGTGTTATAGCTGTACATCCCAAGACAGTTTATTCTGTCTAAAGGGTAAGTGTACAATTGATCTTTTTTTTAATTCAGTACAACCCACAATAATGTAAATGCTCATTTTCTGTAGGATGTAAAGAGAGCCCTAGGGTGCTCTGAATCTGTACATGTTCTTGTCATAAAATGCATACTGTTGATACAAACCACTGTGAACATTTTTTATTTTAAAATCTTGTTTCAAAGGGATTCCTTTTTCCTTTCATTGTCTTGTCATGTACAAACTAGGTTTTATAGCTATCAACATTAGGAATAACTTTCAACCTTGCCAGCATCACTGGTATGATGTATATTTAATTAAAGCACACTTTTCCCCTACCGTATACTTAAAATGACGATTAAAGCCATTCTTTTAAATGTTTGTGACTCTTTCCTAAAGCCAAAGTTTCTGTTGAAATATGTGTTGACACACCCCTAAGTACAAGGTGGCGTGGTTGTGTACACATGCCTCCTTCTTGGGGATTCAAAAACAGGTTTTGATTTTGAATAGCAGTTAGTAATATAGTGCTGTTTAAGCTATTAATGATTAAAGTTAATATCATTTTGTACAATTTCCATATAGTCTATTCATTAAGTAATCTTTTTACAGTTACATCAGGCCTGAACTCGTCAATTCAGAAAGCTTCAAATTATAGAAACAATACTATTCTATACGAGTGACCGATTATACTTTCTTTGGCCTACATTCTTTATTCTGCGGTGAAGTTGAGGCTTATAAGTCAAAACAAAGGAACTAACTTACTGTCCACCGATTTATACAGAACTCACAGCTGTCTATGATTTTTTTAAACTAAGATCTGTTAAAAAGAAATCTGTATCAACAGATGACCGTGTACAATACCATGTGGTGAAAATGCATTCAGACTTATTAAATGACGTACTTGTTAAATCCTCTCGGTGTCTATTTATCAGCACAATACACACAGGAGAATTGTTGATGGCATATTGAGTAGATTTTAATGAATAAATTGCTCTGGAAACCACACAGTTTCATTTTGGATTTGTCTTCCTTCAGGTAGTCTGTTTTCCAAAGATGGATTTTAGTATAGATGCTCATGTTCTTTGAGTTCTAACCTGATATAACTAAATGTCAGTAATAGAGTGATGAGATTGAACTATTCTTCTCTACTATTTAGGGAGATGGGACTTAATCTATATCCATAATTTTCTTACTGTCTAGGTTCACTTGAACTTGGGAGTAAATTCACAAGTGACTTACATTATTATTCTGATTCGGCCACCTACGGTTTCATGAAGTTCTTTGATCTCTTCCCCTCTTCCCTAATTCATATGAACAGTGTTGTCTCATGTTTTGTTACAAGTATGTTGAATGCATAGTAATTTCCCAGAAGTATTCTAAAAATGGGTACTTTGAAAAGCATTTTTTTCCTGTTACAAACGGGTTTCCCCTTAGGGCGGTGGCAGGGAACCTCCTGGTGAGGAACTGTTTGGAGGACAAGAGCAAGGGGTCCAACCTCCCATCTACCAACAGGCTCTGTCCTGAGGCCTCTGGTCCACTGTCAGGGAGATTGGACCTCATGTCCTTGCTGCTCCACATTCTTTGACAAATCCAAACTTGTGAAGTTTTACATAATATTTTCCTGGACCTCGTTGACTATAGGAAGAAAAATATAAGCAAAAATTGATTGTGTGAAAGTAAAGTTCTACACATTTTTAGTCTACATCTTGAACATTATGAATTGTCACCTCTAGGATTTCAAAAGACTGTGAAGTTGTGAAATTGGGCCACTTAGTTTATACCATCACTGGAGTGTGGTATCTAGCTTAAAATTATTTTAAGGAACATAGGCACATGGTATAGATTAAGGAGAGAACAAAATCAGTCTTTGGTTTTAGGACATGACATCCTTAGGAGAGACTTAAATAATTTCAATTCAGTATATGACAACGGAATTTGAGGTGTGTGTCTTTATAACCTAGTGGTTATGCTTGGTCCAAGTCCTGGCTCGTCTCCTAGCTGTGTGATCTGAGTGAGTGACGTGAGTGCTGAGCCAAAGTGTCCCTCACTATATAAACATAGTAGTAGCTACCTCGTGTGCTGAATCTTGAGTGAAATAATGTAATATGCTTAGAAGAATGCTTGATCATAATGGTATTCAATAATTGTTCACTGTTTTTTGCCTTACAATAAGCCCCAGTTGTTTCGTGTCTTTGAACATCTCAGTTGGCTGAGTTCAAAGTGTTTGTAGTCTTAAGACCTGGCACTGAGCCACAGATAGCTAAGTATCTGTGAGCACTTACTGCATATAGAACACCACTATAGATGTTTTCAACAAATGCAAAAGAAATAACTAGGAAACAAAGTTGTTGCAAATACTAGTGTGGTATTTTAAATTCTAGTTTCAAGTCTTTTTTTTTTTTTTTAAAAAGTATTCCTGATTTCAAGGTGACAGCACCAGTGCAAAACCATACAGAAAGACAGGTGATGGCCATGCTTATGTAGCTAAATAGCCTGTAGAATACAGTTGAAACCCATCTGTTGAAATCACTGATTTGGTACACAGACAAGGTCCGCCCACATCTAACATAGTGGTCAGCACAGATGTTAACATAATGTCCTTGTTCTTGAAGCACCTTGATTTAAGGCTAGAGAGTTCTCATAAATAGAATATGGAACGTGGGGATTAGGAACAATAATCGAGTGCTGAACCATGAAGAAGGCATCGGGTTAGACTGATGGAAAAGAAGATAAATCACCTGCTTCCCAGTGTGGGGCCATCCTGGGAGTTTGAAAGGGAATTCCAGTTGCTGAGGGGTGAAGGTACAAGATAAGCTACCAAGCTAAGGCAAGGTGAGTGTCATGGTACCCAAGGAACCGTCAAGCCGTCGCAGGGAAGTGCATGAACAATGGTAGGTTTGTTTTGGCAGTTGCAGGCTGTGACGTGAAACGGACCAACAGAGACAGGGTCTCATAATCCAAGTATCACATAAATTTAGTAGTAGAGGGGACAAAGCTGGGGATCTGCGTGGGGACAGAAGGAATGTTTTGCTGATGTTTGGTATATAGAAGACATTGAAGAATGCCTTCCAAAAAGTAGGTTAAAATAGGTTTCAAGTGCTGTGTGCCCATTTTCCCATCTTGAGAAAAAGACCCAGAGCTCGTTCAACCTTACAGATCATCTAGCTCGAATCTGCAGGGATGGTTTTGATGAAAAAGTTTTTTCAGTTCTGCAAATCCAATACACACAGCCTAAACTGGAATACGACAGCCTCTGCCCCAGGCTTTGGTTTCCTCACCTGTAAAGCAGAGAGAACTGGGATACTAACCGGATGGAATTACGAGGATTAACCCACCAAAACTGTCTACAACTTGCCTTATACATAAGAAATATTCAGTAAGCTACTGAATATTTAATGAGACACCAAAGAATATTCCTAAGATCTAAACCAATGGCAACACAAAGGAACTTAAGATTACATTAGGAAAACTGGTCCAAGCACAGGTCAGTTTTCATTCATCCTTGCGGACTTGTGTGTGAGCTTCAGAAGGTGAAAGTGGAGACAGACGTCAGCACTGGCATCCCCAGCCTACAATCGAAGTAGAGCGAGTCCTGGCAGTGATGCCTCCCTGAGTCGGTGCGTGGTAATAACCGGTCGGAGTTCACGTCATTCCCTCTGATCACCGCTGCTTCAGTAACTCCAACAGGCTTGGCGTTTGGATTTATTACAAATAATCTAAATTACACAGGTAAGCTTTTTAGTTGTGAGAATTATGTATATGTGAATTTTGTCAGTTACCTGAAGTATAAATACAGGATTAAATAATCATCTCAGGTAACCATATAAATAATTTTGTAATCAAAAAGTCAAAACTAAATTTGCAGTAATTAGGGAAATAGATAAGTTCACTTTATACTCTTGTGGTAACAAAAGTGTGTAAGAATTTAAAAATACAAGGCATGCAAAACACTGGAATAGAATCAATGTGGCAACAATCTTTTAAGTGCTTCAGAAAATATTCAGAAAGCATGAAGCACTGCCCAAAGCTTGAGGTTGAGGGATTGTGTAAAATTAAATCATTGGCATCAACCAGATGTTTTTAACTCTAGGAACTAAGGAGGAAGATATAAATCATTACCTTGCTATTGGGATGGAATAGAACACCCAATTCGGTGGCAGGGGCCAGCCAAAAGGCAACTTGCTCTTTCACCAGCCTTAGGTAAAAAAGTAGCATCTGTTTAATATTGCAAGTGTACAGGTAACACAGGAGCAGTGAAGTGACTGAGGGCACTAACAAAGTATCATGTCAGCCCAACATCAAACTTTGAAAAAAATTTTTTTTCTTTTTTTAAGTCAGAGTCCCCACTCTGTGCCTCAGGCTGGAGTGCAGTGGCGTCATCACAGCTCACTGCATCCTCCAACTCCTGGGCTCAAGCAATCCTCCTGCCTCAGCCTCCCAAGTAGCTGGAACTACAAGCAGGTGCACCCTACCCGGCTAATTCTTTCATTTTATTTTTGTAGAGATAGGATTTTGCTTTGTTGCCCAGGCTGGTCTTGAACTCCTGGCCCAAAGCAGTCCTCCTGCCTTAGCCTCCCAAAGTGCTGGGATTACAGGTATGAGCCACCATGCCCAGTCAAATTCTGACAATTTTTAGAATTGAATGATGGCACTTAAGTTTTTTTGACAGAATTTCAAATGCATCCTTGTGTCCCAAACAACCAGTTCTCTAACAGTGACGTTTAGCTATGACCAAACACTGATTTTAATTCTCATTCAGTGAAGGCGTACATTTGGTGCAACCTAGGAAAAATTCTAAAATGCCATTTAAAAATGCACGTTCCTTTTTTCTTCTAGCCATCCAATTAGCACAGTGTATCGAATACCGAGTCTCCCTGAGAGGACCAGCCCACACACCAGTTGTTCAGGGCTGGTGAGCGAGAAAACAGTAAACCAGTTGTTATGTTCTTGGACAGACTGGGTGCTTGACCTTTCCTTGGCAAGTAATGGAAGGTGTGGCAGAGAGATCAGGTGGGATAAGGGACGTTCTTGCTGAGGGTGGCAGAAGTTAATTTGCAAACTGCCAGAATGTGCCCATGCACCAGCTCCATGAGCCTCAAGAGGAGCCAGATTACCTATTATTACCAAAGTGGAATTGCTGCTTTCCAAGCTTTGATTACCCACCCACGAACACCATATATCTTCCTTCTCTGGTTAGTACTTACCCTTCAGATTAAGAGAGAGCCGGAGTTGGCAGATCATAGACTAGAACAATCCCCCAGGCAGGAGGCTGTACAGTGTAAGTGATCAGATGCACGCGTTCAGCATGGATCAGGGTGGGGGTTGGTTGGCTGGATTTAGCTCATCAGCTTGACTTAGATTGGTTTCAGATGTGCCCCATGTTCCTCTTGCTGTCTAGGGCCATTGGGTATTTCTGATGACGATGGACTAAGGTAAGGACAGGAGAGAAATCGGGCAATTTTAAGATTTGCTGCAGTGCAAATTGCTTACTGAGTGTGCAGTTTGGTTGTCATAAATGGTACATTTTTATAAGGTTATTGTAAAAATCCATAATCTTGCTTTTAATTCAAAACTTCAACCTATTTTTTGCATTTATAGAATGAACGTGTTGAGAAAGGTGATCTGCATTCTCTTCCCAACTCCAGAAAGCTAGAATTCCTCGAAGACAATGCTGTTCGAAATTTCTTGACAGGTGGAACCCTTCAAACAAAATCATACCAAAGGCCTCCTGTGTAAAATGAATAAAATCAGAACAGCTCTGTTAGAAGCAGGAGCTAGGGGCTGCTTGTCCCCCACCAGCCACCAAGGATTGAAACCACTGCTCTAAGAGAAATATTGGCTGCTACGGACAGGCCTGTGTGTGTAGACTGGCATTGGTAAGATGTCAGTATGGCCTGCAAGGAGAGCCTTCCCAGCCTGTGATGCCTTGTCTGAAATCCACGTAGCTAAGAAATTCAAGTGTTCTCCGGGTAGAAAGTCGAACAAGTAACCATTTTCAGAGTTATTT